GTGTAAGTGTAAGTGTAAGTATGTATGCGTGTGCCCGAATGCGTTTTGTCCCGGGTTTTCGGGAATCACAAGAGTTAGGAAGCTGGAATTTCAGAAGTATGGTTCCTGCCCACATGCGACTCTGCAAATGTAAACTTAGCTTTCATTTATGCTTGGATCCTATGTAAGCAAATGCGAAAGCTTTCTAGCTAAAATTAATAACTCGACAATCACAAAAGCTAGGAAGCAGGGATTAGGGCAATATTTTAAGCTCATGTGAGATCCCAGAAATTTTTTTTTTCAAAATTCAGCTCCCCATTAGCCTAAATGTATAACCCCACGTATGAATACGTGGGAGTTCCAGCGCGAAATTTTCGGCTTCGGAAACCAACAGGACGGGAAGCAGAAAATTAAATATGATGCTTTCTCTAAATGTACAGTCACGGAGCTTCAAAACAAATTTTCATGTATGCTTATGTCTCAGGTAAATATACGTGAAATGTTACGTGGAGACTCTTTAGTTAGAGAACTGACCGAAAACGAAAGCTGAAATTGCTGAAGGATGTTTTTTTGTTCACGTGCGAACCTACAAGTTCAAACCCAGTTTTCATAAAAATCTACATTTCGCGCATGGCCATATGGAATTTCGTATTTTTGCGCACACCAAACTGGATATTCCTAATAACATTTGACCGCTAAGCAAAACAGCGCAACCGGTTATCCTACCGCGTGCCGCGATTCAATCTGTTTCATTGAAAGTGCCCAAAACCTAAACCTTCACGAAGCAAACTCTAGAAATACACTCGGGATCAGTCCCAAGAACTCCCATTCCAACCAAAAATCGAGGCAACTCGGAAGCTTTCACACCAATAAGAGCATGGAACTGCCCAATGCTTACAAATTGCAAGGAGAAGAAAAAGAGCACAAAGGGCATAAAATGAATAAAAAACCTGTCATAGATGAGGCCATCTACTCGGAGAACTTTTTTGAAATAATCAATATTCTCCCTGTTGTCAAGGTCATCACCCCAAACAAACGAAATGAGACCAAATTCTCGCGCACGCTGTATTGGAGATGGATCTCGTAACAAATCCTCGGTATGGAAATTTACACCCTGCAAATCAAACAAATCAATCAGTAACCTGTAGCGAAGCGAAAAACTCATCAAAATATCAAACCACAAAAAACTGTTCCAACTTACCAAAATATCAATGCAAGTGGCAAAGTTAACAGCGGCATCGGAAGTAGATGAGCGCAGATCCACGAACGGCTCATAACGTGTTGTGACACCCACACAAAGAAATAATACTGGATAGAGGTGCTGTTTTGCCGCCAACCTGCAGCAGCATAATCATCAGCTAGACACTGTGACCGCACTAGGAGAAGCTGAAAATGCTGAACATACATGGCACAGCAGTCGGGATCAAACGATGAAAATACGATTCGACGATCGCCAGCATTGTTCAAAACATCGTTGAGGATAATGTCAATATATTCGTTGTGCTCAAAGTAATTCTCACATTCATGCTTGCCACTCTAAAACAACGGAACTGTAGGCCACAAACAAATTAAGAAAAAAAAAAAAAGGAAAGGCTCCAGCACTGCCGCGAATTTCGGTAGATGGCTGCACCACAACAACATTTGAAACTCCACATCGGCCAGAATAATAACAGTGAATTACGGCAGTAATATCAACAACACTAATAATAAAAATAACAAAATGGCATTTAGTGTTAGAGATAACGGTAAAAATCTCCTAATTGGTAAGACACCGCATCCTCATCTGCAAGCTCGGGACAAGATGCTGATGTTCAACACGCACCAAAGAGGTCTGCAAACAGCTAGAGCCTCGCCAACTGCTTCTTCTGGGATAATCAATGAACTCCTGCTATCGTGCCAATGGAAAAGGACCTATTCGAAAGCGTACCGGCTGCCAGCACGAGGATGCGTTTTTTGCACAGTTCCCCCCGGAGGTTTTTTTCGTTCTTCCTGGCAGATTCTTCTAGCTAAAAGAATTGTAACTGGCCACCACGACTGTTAGAAATCATTACAATGACTCCCAATC